ACCTTCTGGATGACAAAGAACCTTCTCACATTATGCCCTATGTTAAATAATACACCTTCTGGATGACAAAGAACCTTCTCACATTATGCCCTATGTTAAATAATACACCTTCTGGATGACAAAAAACCTTCTCACATCATGCCCTATGTTATATAATACACCTTCTGGATGACAAAAAGCCTTCTCACATTATGCCCTATGTTAAATAATACACCTTCTGGATGACAAAGAACCTTCTCACATTATGCCCTATGTTAAATAATACATCTGGATGATAAAGAATCTTCTCACATTATGTCCTATGTTATATAATACATCCTCTGGATGACAAAGAACTTTCTCACCTTATGCCCTATGTTAAATAATACACCTTCTGGATGACAAAGAACCTTCTCACCTTATGCCCTATGTTATATAATACACCTTCTGGATGACAAAGAATCTTCTCAACGTATGACTTATGTTAAATAATACACCTTCTGGATGACTAAGAATCTTCTCACATTATGTCCTATGTTAAATAATACATCTTCTGGATGACAACAAAACCTTCTTAACGCATGTCTTGTGTCAATAACAATACTACCAATAAAAATTATTGCGTTCTGCTTAGAAACGTGAAACCTGCATTCTAGATATAATGACTTACAGAAGCAGGAAAATACTTGTATGGAAGTGTTATCCCTTAGGGCTGCCTACAATCCTAAGTGACTTATTGCAGACAGGGATATTGCAAAGGATAGTTATTAGCCACTACCTTGAAACGTGCGTTCCCGTCGAGTAACACAAGTACAGAAAACCAAATACCAAGAAGAAAATATACCATCAAGAAGTATCAAAGCAACGGAAATTCCAAAATACTCCTGAGCCTTGAAAAAGTTTCCCTGCCAGGATTTATTCTTATTATACTACTAGAATGACTACACCTCGTCTGTCTTTTTCTTCTATCTCTCTCTCTTACCTTTCTTTTGTAAAACCTCACCGTTGTTTCCGATACTCCTTCTAGCTACTGTAAACCCAACTCCAAAAACTAATTGTGAAACCTCTCATTGGTAAATGAAAAGAGACTGCTGTCCCCACCCACCCCAAATTCCTACTTTTTCTTTTATTTCCCTATGTCTGTTGTATCCTGGCTAGCCTATGTCCCAGTGGGTTATGATTTGCGTTCTGTCATCACAAAAGAAAGAAAAGAGAGAGAATCATGGTGGGTACTCTGAATACCTTCCTTACAATAAGTTCAAAATTAGGCACAGTTAAATTCGATGACGAGGAACCCACTTTGAGACTAATAATTATTGGAGACGGCTTGAATGGGTAATGAAGAAA